ATGCTGATCTCATTTCTGAAATTATCATTTTAATATTCGAAGCTTACAACGTCGATACCGACGATTTTGGTACAATGTGCTGCTCTGTTTTATCTCTAGTTTACTGTAAAAAGAGGTGACAATGCACCAATCTGCTTCTGTTGTGATTTTCGATTACGAAGTATTTTTAAAAAAGGGAAGTAGGGCTTTTGAGTTCTTGAGTTTTTGAGGAGCATCTTCCCCATGCAAAATAGGCTCAACATTTTTTGTTTGGGCATTAAAATGTCTACAAATAAATGTAAGGTAAATGCGGAAGTTTGGTAAATGATAGTATGAGTCATGTGAAACATTGTGAAGTGGAGAAACGAGAGGAGGCTCTATAAAACTGCAAAGGGCAAGTTGAATTAAACATTGTTGTCATTTGTCAAGACGGTGGTCCATTTTTAATAACCCACACGTTAGGAACCAAATAACAGCATTTCCCTTTCAATTTTTATTATTTACAGAATTGTTTCCTATATATTATGTTATTATTTAGAATTTTGAAATGAGTTTTTTTTTTGTAATTATTATTGATTAATTTGGCTTTATTCCTGGTGAAGAAAATGACTGGATGGAATGGACAATTAATGCTTGATGACAACTATCGCTGATGTGGAAAGTTAATTATTGTTAATATAGTGGGCCCATCATGTAGCCCAATGGGCCCTTCGAATGATAATGTGAAATTTTATCTCTTTACCTGTTTAACCGCGGAGAAAATAACTCACGTATTCGTATTGAACAGGGAGGGAGACGATAACATAGAACCTTTACTGTATTATATTACACAACGTAGTTTTTGTTACACAAGTACAAACAGAATACTAAATACAAAATGTCTTGTCTTAACAAATTATACTATAATTCCATAATTCTGACGTGGCATTATCATGAATTTGATCAAATAAATAAACGGTTCAGATTAAGTCCTCAGCTTATGGTTTCTTCTTTATCTTCTCCCTTCCTTCTTCTTCCTCACTCCCTCCTCCCTTTCTCTCTTCCCTCGCTCTAGATTTGCTCTGTTCCGAGCCTAAAGCAGAGAACACACACACACACTAACACGATGTTGCTTGGAAAGAGACAACGACCACCGATCAACAGAACAACGAGTCTGTCCGAGATAAAGTTCGATCTAAACCTTCCCAGCGAATCAGAGGCTCCATCAAACCAGCAGAGTCCAAGCCAAAATACCGTGGTGGGACCGTCCGGTTCTAACGTTAACCACGTAGCAGCAGCCGTGGATCAACGGTTCTTGCCTATGGTCTCACCGAGAGGTAACCTGAGGAGACACTCAGGCGAGTTTTCCGACGCTGGACATTTCTTGCGATCTTGCTCCCTATGTGAACGCTTACTTGTTCCTGGCCGTGACATCTATATGTACAGGTATGTATATGAACCAGATCATTTTAAAATACTGCAGACTCTTGAATCTTGAGCATATAAAGACATTCTTGAAAGTGAAAGTAAATTTTATGTTTACTGTTTTAACCGTTTCATGAGACTGGTTTTTAAAACTCAAACCCTAATAAAAATAAAAGTACAATCTGTCGGATGATTCATAAAATTTAATTTGCTATTTTTAGTTGGAAAATTGTATGTTACTAATTAATTAGTGTAATGACAAAAAAAAAGTACAATCTGTCGGATGATTCATAAAATTTAATTTGGTGTGTTTATAGTTGGAAAATAGTATAATTACTAATTAATTAGTGCTAATAATTTTGTAATAAAAATGGCAGGGGAGATACGGCTTTTTGTAGCTCAGAGTGCAGGGAACAGCAAATGGCACAAGACGAGGGGAAAGAGAAAGTTAAGCCGGCGAAAGAAGCGGCGGTGCCAGCTAGAGCCAAACCCGGCAAAGGAGGGAGAGTTGCAGCCGCCGTGTAGTCCTCCTCCCCTCTCATATTCACATATATTATATAGTTTATATATAATGCATTATGTGTTGGCTTGTTATGTGTTTGTATATGATTATGATGGGTAATACATATTCAAAGCATCGAGCGTTAATTAACCTGTTGTTAATCACTCTCGTGTGTTGTGGTGCATGGAATTAATGATTTTTTACGAGGGTTTAAATTTTACAAGTTTTGATCTATTTGAAACTATAATCAAATGTATGTAAGACTTGTGTTTTTAAGTACTTTATGAGAAGATTTAAGATTTAAAAGTTTACAGTGAATTTATGTGGGTGAGGTTGCAGTTTTAAGAGATTGAATCTAGATATTTAGAATCAACGACAAAAACAAATATTAACAGTAGTCATATTGTATCATAAGCTGGATTTTTTTTGCTGTCACTGTATCATAAGCTGGATATCATCGGAGATTACGAAGAAATCTTTTTAAAAATAAGAACGCAGTGTGATTGGTTAATCACACATATGTACTCTTTCAAAAGTAGAATATGTGTATATGACTATATGCTTACACATCAACAAAAAAAGAACATCAACCCTGGAATCAATAACGTTTATTCTATAGGAGAATTAATTCCAGTTTTTCAGTTTAGGTCAACTAAAGTTGATGTACAATTTTTTTACTGTGTGTGGCCTTTCGTGTACCTTTTTAAAACACATTTACACCGATACATACGGTGTTCTTCTTTATGTATGACAATATTTTCTTAGTTTTTTGGAATTTATTCTTTTTTATATGCAGATTTATACGTATATGAATAGACACTATTAATTAAATACGATGTTGCTCGAGTCAGGAATCTAATGCCTAATCAGCATGGGTCCTAGTATCCACCAATTGGAAAAATTAAGAGATTCTCTTATTATATGACTTTTTTGTCTATAAAGGTCGTTACAGTTTTGACAAATTCCTAATTAATGACATTTTGTGTTTCCCATTTGTTTCAAAACTTTTGCACACACACACAAACTTTGGATCGTTCCTTTTTTCTAACGAAATGATTAAACGGTACCTTTTTACACTTTGTTGTATGCATACGCTACGCAGTAAACATTAATAATATGTATGTAATGTAGAGGAAGCCGAAGGTTTATTTTAGTTGCTTTGGAACAACGAAACTTATAGCACGTACACACGTATGGTTGCTTTGTGGATACATTTGTATTAGCAAGTTGATATTAAAACATTTTAACGTATTAAGTGAGTAATAGAATATTAGTACCACTTGGCCAAATTGGCATGTGTCCGCATCAAATTTGGCAAACTATCTGAATTCTGATCTCTCCAACCTAGCATCCATGCTCCTTAATTATTGTTCTACGGAACAAAAGCTGTGTAATTATGTTTTTTTTTTTATTATAAAGCTAAATTAAAAGCAAGTCCGAGTTATAAAATAAAGATGGTTGGCATCTTTCTCGACCAAAGAAGAAGGTTAGCATATTTCTTGACCAAAGAAGATGGTTAGAAACCGAGACTATAACTGCATGCTTTCCGTTTATTTATTAAAAAGTGTTTCAAAAATAATGGCTAAAAATCTAGTTAGCTGTATCTGTATGCATGCATATGTATTCATTTTGAATTGTTAACTTGGTTAAAGATAGTTCAGTCAAAAACAAACTTGGTTAAAGATAGTCTTTACACAGAAGTTGAAAATGTTGTTTAATTATAGATTGAGCTTTCAGTAGAGAGGGATTAACAAGGACGGAGGTTTTCATAAATGATCATGCATGTGTCTAAAGAGAAGTATGAGGCAAGAGCTGTTGGCTACCATGTTTTATAATAGTAGAATATGTGCCATATATGTGTTAATGTGTCGTGTTTGTTTTGTATGAGGGGACAAGATATGAGAAGTTGTCCCGTTACTCTTGGGTTCTACTTCTAATTTTCTATATTCAGAAATTATTAGTCTAAGTAGGAATAAGACTATATGGAGTACACGTGCAAATATGCTTTCCATTAAATTTTATATTTGTCTAATCCAGGTGGACAATAAATGTTATTGATCCTTATTAGCAATTACTTCGAGACTAATATATACTAGGGCTTAATGATAATAATACAAGGTTACGTACAGTTGAGAAAGGCTAAATTTGTGGAAATAAACTTAACCTCATTAAGCACGGCCACAAACTTCTTTCCGTTTGTATTAAGGCAACAGTCTAAACCACACACACGCATAGTGTTTTCGCCTTTATGCCAAACGTAATTTTTCATTTTTATTTGATCGTGTTCATTATTTATTTGGTTGTAAGTGGTGTTGGCCCATTTTATATGTTACGGATCGAGTTGTTCCATCCAGATTAAGCAAAGACAAGTGGGAAGAGCTCATGTGATTATGTGAAGGTCCAAATAATGTTAATTGTTGATTTCATTCTTAATTTGAACTTTAACAAATTATCTCACGTATGTGCATTAAGAACAAAACATAGTCAAACGGTATCTCAATTATTTTGATTCTTGGTCTGATTTTAGATATTATACTCTCATGCCTCACCGCCACTTGCTTAGGTATACAGTTCCTCGCTTTTTGTATAATAATTTAATATGAACTCTATTCAATATTGTTAACCATATAAATTATTATGGTTAGAGTATGTATAGGAGTCGTGTCATCTTATAGTTTTGTTTTTAGCGATTTTATAAGAGTATGACGATTTCAGTTATAACATTTAACAGTCGAATTATAAAACGTTAAGACAGTGGTAATAATATTATCTTTTCAACCTTACTTAAGTATCACTTCTTTTATTTGTTTCCACGAGTTATTTATTTAGAAGCTTCGGACAAGAACAGGTCGAGATTTCAAGATTGGTGTTGGGGGGTGCTTGAGCCTGAATCAACCTTTCAGAAATGTATTTAAATAAAATAAAAGGAAATGAAGGAACAAATGCTTACCTCTTATCTGACACTTGATTTGTTCTTCCCAATTTTTTTGTCATATGAAGTTGGAAAGGGGAAACAAAGTATTATTTGCCTTTGTGATCATATATTCATATAAAAAGAATATATATACATATAAAAAGTATTATTTGCCTTTGGATGTAGGATTATGGGATAACAATGTCGTTTCATAAAGCTCCGTTTTTGGTGGATATTGATGTTGTTCAAGGGAAGCGAGTGTTGAAACTTGAGGAGATCTCTGGTAATGCTAATGCTTGGCATGACACTGATCTTCTTATCTTCAATACTGGTCACTAGTGGAGTCACACCGGGTCTCAGCAAGGGTCAGTTATCAAATTCCAGTGATTTGATTTATTCTGGCAATGAGAAAATGTTTTGTCTTATACTCCTCCTTGTGAAACACACACAGATGGGACTTGATTCACTCAGGCAATTCTTATTACCAAGACATGGACCGTTTCGTTGCAATGGAGAAAGCTCTTCGTACTTGGGCTTATTGGGTCGAAACAAATGTGGATAGATCCACAACTCAAGTCTTCTTCCTCTCCATTTCTCCAACGCATGACAAGTAACACACTCTCTCTCTTTTTAACTCAAAGAAGTTAATCAAATGAGTCCTAAAATCACATGTGTATGTATGTTTTTTAATTTTTCCAGCCCGAGTGACTGGGCAGCATCATCATCTTCGGGATCCAAGAACTGCTACGATGATATTTTTGAAAAAGAAATAAAATATTGGCTTATAATATATTTTTGAAATAAGAAAATAAAAATATATAAAAATAGTAGTAGTTGCAAAAAGTTAAATACATATTTTTAACGGTATATTTTAACACCGTCATCAAAAGACTAAACCCTAAATCCTAGAGTAAATCTTAATTTCTTAAATCCTAAATAAAAAATACTAAATATTAAGCACTAAACCTTAATCCTAACCTATAAATCCTTGGAAAAACTAAATAAAAATAGTAATAATTGCTAAAAATGAATTTTTGAAAATATTTTTAACACGTCAATAAAACACTAAACCCTAGATACTAAACACTAAATCTAAAACACTAAATCTATAGGATAAATCATAAACCCTAGGGTTTAGAATTTATCAAAGGGTTTATGGTTTAAAATTAAGAGTTTAGTGTTTAGAATTTATCCAAGAGTTTAAAGGTTATGATTTAGAGTTCAAAGTATAGTATTTTTTTTCATAGTGTTAAAAAATATGAAAAACCTTTTTTGGCAACTACTAGTATTTTTTATTATTTTTATTTACTATTGTATTTTAAAAATATAATATAAATTGATAATATTTTGTTTTTTTTAAAAGATATTGAATATAAAACAATAAAATATTATTGGTTGATGAATTCAAGATGAAGTCCCAAGAATAACTCAAACCAAAATAGGCAGACCGAAATGTTTTAACCAATAGGTAAACGGAAACTTGTTTTTTAGCTGATTTACAACTTTTTAACGATATTTAAAATTGGTAAACTAATTGATTGTCAACATTCTATGGATACCCCCCATATGTATAGTGTGGAATAAGAGGGTGAAATACGTAATTTGGAAATTCTAATTAAGAAACAGGAAATACTTAGCAAATTCCCATTCTTCTCTCGAATGCAATTAATCAAAAATGTAGCTAGAAGAACAAACAATACACTTAATTAAATAATCAGAATGCTTAATTGGAAAAATTAAACCGCGTTACTTGGGGATAAATTAAGCTGCTAACTACACTTATCGAACCCAAGCAAAAGCTGCTTTTTAACTTCTTCTCTACACTGAGAAAGAAACGATAAAAAGACTGCGTTTTGTTATTTATTCCCAAATTTTTGACTTGACTTGTAATGTCGGCGACTGAGGAGCAGCCGATCTTCGGCGGTGGACGAAATCTTCGCCGGAGAAAGCTTCTCGTCGGTGAAAAAGTAGAGGTAAAACCCCACCCCCCCCCGCGACATTGACTATTCCGTTTCGATCAACGATAGGTCTTTTGACTCTAGGGGTTTTAGGGTTTTGGATTTTGACGAATTTCGAGTGTTACATTATCTGATTCGATGGTTGCAGAAAGTCTTCTGCGTCTCTCTAAATATCTCAAGTAGATTTAGAGTTTCTAATCCTAATAAAAACATATATATTGCTTTTTCAGAGTTTATAATTTGTATGTTGGAAAGTTAACTGTTTTTAGGCTTGTTTAGGTAAGAAGTGTTGAGGAAGGCTTTCTTGGTTCTTGGTGTTCAGCAACTGTTATTTCCTCCAAAAAGCGACGCCTTCGTACTATTAGATACGATCACTTCCTATCTGATGATGCAACTGATTATCTTGTTGATACTGTTGATGTTTCCGAGGTAGTAGAAGGGTTGAGCTCTTCATCTGGTGGCAGTTTACGTGGACGGTTAAGACCTGTGCCTCCAAAGCTGGAAGTTGATAGATTCAGCCTTGCGTATGGACACTGTGTCGATGTATACATCACTGATGCTTGGTGGGAAGGTGTGGTGTTTGATCACGACAACGGTTCTGAGAAAAGGAGAGTGTTTTTCCCTGATTTGGGTGATGAAACTGATGCTGATATGAAATCTTTGCGTGTTACTCAGGATTGGGATGAGGTTACAGAGACTTGGGAGTGTCGTGGGAGATGGATGTTGCTTGAGTTGGTTGACAAGTAAAAGCTGCTAACTACACTCATCCAACCCAAGCAAAAGCTGCTTTTCACTTCTTCTCTACGCTGAGAAAGAAACGATAAAAAGACTGCATTTTGTTATTTATTCCCAAATTCTTGACTTGACTCGTAATGTCGGCGGAGGAGCAGCCGATCTTCTGCGGTGGACGAAACACCCCTGAAAAGGCTGTTAGGTCATGCAGACAATACAGAGTTGAGACATAAAAAAATAAGCAGATGGAGTTTTGTCATTGAGACTCTTTTTGCAACTAACTTTAGCCAGGACCGTCTAATAACATGTGTAAGTGGAGCGGTCGAACAGGGCCCCAAATATAAAAATAAAAAAAAATTATAAAAAATAAAGAAAAAATAAGGAAAAATTACAAAATTTTGAGAAGTATATAGCTAGACAGTACGTAAACACAAAAATATAGTTTTATTATATAAATAAACTGAAAATCTTCAGTTACATTATCGTATGCTATTCGATAGAATAATAATCTAAAAATTGCATCGCTTGTTAAATCAAGCAGAAAATCATCTTAAAACAAAACAATCTATACTATTATTTAAGAAGTAAGTTTGCTTAGTTGTCAACTTCTCCTTAATTTTAGGTAAATTTTTTTATTTACCTTATTTAACTTCTCCTTAATTTTAGGTAAATTTTTTTATTTACCTTATTTAAATAATTTTATATACAATTTATTAATAATATTAAATTGTTATCTTAAAAATCTATTTTGCTATTATAAAATTTAAGTGAATTTACTGATTGATTTGTAACTTCTTTATGATTATTGTAATTTTGCTTATTTTTTCTATTTTTAATAATTTTATGAATAATTTATTATATAATAAAACGAATTTGTATTAAAAATATTATACTTTTACAAAATAAGATAATTCTTATGTATTATATTGTTATCTTTAAAATATATTTTTTATCATAGAAATTGAAAATTAAGTTAAAATATTAATAGTTAACTATAAAGAAAGAAATGATGATTTATCAACTTCTCCATGGTTTTATATTTTGCTTATTTATCATATTTCAATAATTTCATATATAATTTATTCAATAATAAAACAAATACTGATAATACTAGATTTAAGAAAATAAGATAATTCTTATGTATTAGATTGTTATCTTGAACATATATTTCTTATTAGAAAATTTAAGTGAATTATCTGATTTGTAATTTCTCTATGATTTAGATAGTTTTGATTATTTGTCATATTTTTTATAATTTTATATAAAATTTATTATAAAATAAAACGAATTTCTATTAAAAATTATGTTTTGAGAAAATAAGATACTTCTTATGTATTATATTGTTATCTTGAAAATATATTTTTTTACTATAGAAATAAAAAATTAAGATAGAAAAATTAAAATTAAAATAAATTAAAGCAACACATTTGTAAAAATATATTTTTAAAAATATTTTGCTATGTGAGGGTTGTCATTTATAATTAATTTAAAACATAAATCATAACTTATTATATTGGTTTGAATTAATAAAATATAGATTAATAATAAATTGTAGGAAAATTATGCCCGCATGTGCGGGCAAAACACCTAGTAGTTAAACTAAAATTGTTGTCAACCACAACTAAACGGGCACAACTTGGTTGCCCCACCTAAGCTGTGCACAATCCCAGAGAAAGACCAAGGTGACCGAACTAAACACAACCATTATGATGATACGAGTTGTAATCACCATAATGTTTCTTCACAGAACCAAAAACTTATTTTTTCTAAGTTCCAGAGAGAACTAGCTTATATACATATATGGGAAACCTTATTAAAAATAGAAAACAGTTGGACATGAAAAATGAAAAATTCTATTTCAAAAAAGAAAAGAAAAAAAAGAAACATTCTAAATCTCTTGAAAGTCTATGGCTTTTTAAGAAATTTAGAAAAACAATTGTAAATCATGCATATGTCATTAATGATTATTAGGAGGAGCAAAAAAAAACAGGAAATTTTGCATGAGTCATTCATAAACATTTGATCGAATATGTCAGTTTAAGAAAACTAACTAGGAAATTTGGAAATTGTAACATTTATAGTTGTCTATTAAATAAAGTATTTGTACTTTGTTATTTATCCTTTTCCTTTTATATAATGACTCGAATATATCAAATAGAAAATGATTAGGATAAACCTAAAAAAGATTTTATCACAAATATAGATCTTAACAATTAAAAATGATCAAAATATCACTTAAAAGTTTTATTAAATATACATTTATACCTTTTGGATTAACTAATCATAGATTTTTTTGTTTAGAGTTGAGGACTAAGGTTTTATGAATAGAATTTCAAATTTTTTTTTAAAGAAAAAAACTTAAAATTTCAAAACAGAAAGCATTTATTTTGGTTTTTGAGATCTATTTTTATAATAAAAACTTTTAAAAAATACTATCTGAGAGAATTATCCAATATCAAAAGACAAGTCATGATAATGTGTGATAGTTTAAAGTGGACAATCTTTTAAAATGAAAATATGATAATGTGTGATAATATGCAAGTATTCGGCCCAAAATACAAACCGACGTCGTTTGTTTAACCCGACGTATAAACACCCCTGAGGTTTTCTCGAACATTTGCATCGTTCATCGCTCTCCCGAGAGAGCCGACGAGTACATCCGCAAGCTTTACGCCGAGTTGGACAGTGTCCGCGCCAAGGCTGATGCTGCTTCCATCACGGCGGAGAAGAGCAGACGTGCTCGCTGGTAGATATGCTGAAGCAGGAGCGGAATTGGCACGCGCTCAAGCTATGTGTAGTCGTTTGTCTCAGGAGAAAGAGCTCATGGAGAGACATACTAAATGGCTTGATGAGGAGTTAACTACCAAAGTTGATAGTTATGCTGAACTCCGTAGGAGGCATTCTGATCTTGAGGCTGAAATGTCAGCGAAGCTTGTGGGTGTAAGAGCTTATTTTCTAATGCTCTGCTTTTGATTTTTTTTTTTTTAAGTTCTGTTCCTTTACTTTGGTTTCATTGTCATCTCTTATCAGTTTGAGAAAAATTATAATGAGTGCTCTAGTTCGTTGAATTGGCATAAGGAAAGATTGAGAGAGCTCGAAACTAAGATTTCTTCATTACAAGAGGTATGAGCATGGGATAGATCACTTGTTACCTTATCATTTTTTGGTGCTTTATGACATATATACAATAAAACTACACAATTATATATAATATATTTACATAGATATTAATGATAATAATATATTAAAATCTGCATTAATTTTAAAAAGTTATATTACATAATGAAATTTTGTAAATAAATGATTTTATGAACTAGTCACAGAACTAAAAATTTGGATTATTTAATTGTTAAATATATAATCTTTTTCAAGTATAAATTTGAGGTATAACCATTGTTAATATATATAGAAACATAAAAATTTTGTCTAAGACATTGTAAAATTAAAAAAAATTAATACGCACATAATAATTTGATTTTGAATCTGTACCATTTTATATCATAAAAAATCTAGTGTTCTTTTATTACATTCAATCTTTTGATGCTTTCTTCCCATGTGAGTTAGCACCGACATACAGACAGCATCAAGTAGTTCTGTCCAGCTGCAATCACGCAAACGCACCACCTTTTACTAATATCTTCCAATCATATATTGACACGTCAAGATATCCTAACAACAAATTTACGATGACATCCCTGGTGGCACAACTAAATCTCACGGGCTTTCCATCTTCTTCTTCCCTATATTCACTATCTTAAATTTCACTAAACTCTGTAAACGTCTTCTCTCTATCTCTTCTCGGAAAAATGGCGAAGCTAGTGATGTTGATGGTTCTCTGTATCTTGCCGGCGATAGCCATGGCGGCAAAGATGCCACGTATTGGTAAGAACACTTTGGTGGTTCAAGGTATCACTTACTGTGACACTTGCAAGTTCGGCTTCGAGACTGCTGAATCCTCCTATGTCGTCCCTGGTATGCATCTCTCTCTCTGATTCTTCTAGATCTTAGAGCTTCACCTACTTATGCCCTAGATCTTGTTACAGTGTTGATGGATTCTTGTTAGATCTGAGAGCTTCACTTACTGTCTATCTACTGCTTATGTCCTAGATCCAAGTCTTGATGTGTGTGTGTGTACATGATTCTTTACTTGAGATACAAGTCTTGTTGTGTCTGTACATGATCTGTTACTTGAGATACAAGTCTCATGAACAAAAACTTATTTTTAATTATTTTAAATATATATATAGGTGCGACGGTGAAGCTTGTGTGCAGAGACAGGAAGACAATGGATGAGACTTACACAGACGTGGCTACTTCAAACAGGCATGGAAAGTATATGTTTGTTGTCCACGAAGACCATAAAGACGAGATGTGTGATGTTATGCTTTTGAAGAGCCCAGACAAGGGTTGTTCTAAAATCTCGAGGGGACGTGAACAGTCACGTGTGATCTTGAACCATTACAATGGCATTGCCTCGCAGATCAGGCACGCTAACAACATGGGGTTTGAGAAAGATGTTTCAGATGTGTTTTGCTCTGAGCTTATCAAGAAGTATCAGGTTGATGAAGATGAGGTTTAAGATTAGTAGACCCGTCTTTGATCAATGTCATATATCTGTTGTTTTCGATTTGGTTTAAGATCATATGTGTATTTTTTTTAATAATTATTTGTCTTAGATGAGATGATGATGACTCCAATGATCGGAACTATGTTTGTGTAAGCTTCTTCTATTGAAATATATATCCACACTTCCCTGGTTGGGAAGTGTCTTTAATATTTGATCTCTTCACCCTTTTTTTTAGTGAGTGAAGTTTCATTAAAGATTTACATGTACATGTTGTCATCCAAAACTTGTAATTTTATGAAGATTATGATCCAAAAGTTTAATGAACTTTGTGGAGAAACAGATTGGTAAAAAGTATAGGAACAATTATTACAACATGCTCGTTAAGGACACACACTCTCCACATAACTTGCATTTTTTTACCATACCTTTAATCATCAATTTGAGAATTTTAACTGTCACTGAATCCGTCAGATTTAGACTAAGGTCTCTGAGGACTTGTTACACACCAACCCCAAGTTAATTAAAAAAAATCAGGATGTAGTCTTTGGGCTACAGACTTAACTCCCCAATCTACTTATTAATGGACTTTTATGGGCCTACAAATTTTGGTTTCACATGAACCAACCCCAAAAAGGAAAAAAAGAAAACATCTGAGGTTTGGTGAATTAACCCAACCAAGACAGTGAGACACCAAAGGGTTGTTGGGCAAATTTTGATTTCACATTGACCAAACCCCCCCCCCCCCCCCCAAACC